TTTTAAACCCCAAAATACATTACGGCAAAGACTGGTTCATCCCAAAGATCCAGTCCCCCGGCACAAACAGAGTAATGTTGTGTATGCTGTTCAGTGTCAGGAGGGCTGTGATCAGTCTTACATCAGGGAAACTAAACAGCCCCTGGCCAAAAGGATGGCCCAGCACAGAAGATCAACATCATCAGGCCAGTACTCTGCGGTCTACACTCATCTCCAGGCCAGTGGTCACTCTTTCAGGGATGAAGATGTGCACATCCTGGATAGAGAGGAACGATGGTTTGAGAGAGGAGTAAAGGAGGCCATCTTTGTGAAAAGAAACCGTCCATCATTAAACAGGGGTGGAGGCCTACGTGTTCAATTGTCCCCCTCTTACAATGCTGTGATTGCTAGTATCACTCAGCCCTCTGTGAATAGTACACAGCCATCAGTGTGCTAATGATCCATTGTTAGGCTGATGGTCCTTCTTGAGCATGTGATCAGCTGGTTTTGGTTGTCAGCAGCAAAACTGGTCGATCCACTCTGAGAAGGTGCTATTTAAGAGACTGAGCTGAAAACAGCACCTCAGACTGAAGAAGTCTCTCGGACGAGAGACGAAACGTTTCTACATTTTTTGTTGTTTTGCTTTGTTTTGTTTTTTGAATGTCCAGAGGACCAGATTTAACTTTTTTAGATTTTTCTACCTGGATTATTGAGCATGCATCAGGAGATGTGCATTTTACTCTTCTGTCTGAATGAGGAGTGTAGTGTTGATGTCTGTCAAAAGTCAGAGAACAAGTTATGAGAACGAAGTGCCTTGTTTTAAAACTCTCAGACAGTAAATAAGAAACTGGCACGCCTGCAAGTCTCTCACTTCTTTAAAATATTTTCCTGTCTGTTACTAACCGTTCTTAAAAACATTTATGCTGTCTGGGACTTCTAATAACCCTCTGACATCACTAAAACTCCACCCCTGCTGGTTGTGTTAACCAATCAGGAAGTACCAAGTAACAGGAAGTGGATACCCTTTAAAAGTCAACACTTCTTGGAACTATTCAGTTCTTACTGAAGGTCTTACTGGAGTTCTGACTGGAACTTTCAGTCTTAATGGACTCAGTCTTACTGGAGTCTTGCTGGGACTGCAGTCTTGCTGGAGTCTTACAGCTGAACTAAATAGCTGATGGAATTTGACCATGGTCCATCCATTTCAGCGGAGTCACAGCACGCCTTGCTGTGAACTCACCCGGGTGTAACGCCCTACAACTTCTAATGAAGATTCCTTCTAAGGAAGTTCTTATTCTGTTGAATGGAGTACTTTGTCACTACTTCAGACGATTTCCAGCCACTCTGACCGGAGACGCTGAAAGGTAGCGTTGAAATGGACCTCTGTACCGGAGCTGATTTATCTTCTGCAAAGGTAACGAGTTGTCACGCACCGAGTGTACCGGGGCTGAGCTGGGGTCGGATGAAGGGTGCCATTCCTGGTCAACACATTTTCCCTTCATCCATCCAAATCCTCCTCTTTAAACTTCTAAATCTCCTCTGTAAACCTCTTCGCCAGTAAATCAAGCTAAATGCCTTCAGAGATTAATTATTCTCCATCAGTAATCCTTTGTTGTCTTGTTATTTGAACTTGCTAAGTTTATTAATCAGAAATAGATCAGCAAATCAAGTGTACATGTTTTGATGTAAAATTTTGATTCTGTTAAATAAATGACCGCATTTATTCTGATGGGTCAAAGATAAATGATGTCTCATGTCACTAATTATACACTCCACTCTCAAGTTATCTTGGTCACATGGCAGAAATTTAACTCGAAAAAGAAAGAATCCGTTGTTAATTAAACAATTAATATTCTTTGTGCTTGAACTAGCCTTAAGAATAATTAATTAATAGGATGTCCACAGCAACAGCCGTCCTGACATACTACAGATATATGTATGGTGTTTGACAGTTTAGCTTTTATGTAAAAGTGTAAAAATTATGTCTTGATGGGTTGACAGGTTTATTTTCTCCACGGCAACAAAAATAGGTCAATCTTTGTGTAATCACTGCATTTATTTCAAATGTTAGGCAAGCTTACAAGCAAAGCACATGATACAAAGAAGGGTAATGTACAAAAAATAGATGAAAAACAAAGACAGAAGCACAAACAAAGAAAATGAAACAATTAGAAACAGATACGATGAGCAAAAGCAAAGTTAGGATTAATATGTGTGTGTGTTAAGACACATGAACTTCCACAGACTCCATAATTTAATAATTTCCATAATTTCTAACTCCAAAGGAAAGTCGCTCAGCAGAACAGCAACATGTTCAGATTGTTTTGCACATTTTCAAACCAACATTAACTTTGATGAATCCCAATTTAGCTGCACCTCCAGGTGAAACATGAACACACACACACAAGCACCAGTTCACAGCTGGAAACTTAACTGGATAGTTGTGTCAATTAAATACTTTGAAAAATGTAAACTTGTTTATTTGCATTTAAATTTTTTGTGTTTTCTGTTGAAATATTCAGAACAGTCAGCATCACACCAGAAATTACACACACACACCCAACAAAGGCACATCCACATACAAACTGTGAACAGGTCTTGAGTCATCTTTCATTTAGAGAATATTTTCCTTCAAGCAGCCAGACTTTCATGAATCTGTTAAAGTTGTCATGATCAACAGTTCTTGAACTTTCTGAAGATTTTCTTTGGACATTGGCCCTTTCACTCATTTTCAGTCAAAGATTTGGTTTAAGTCCCTTCATTTTTTTGCCTCACTCTGGGCCCTAGAGCAAGACCCGGAGAAGAGAGCAGCCAAAAACAAAAACAAAACTAGTTCTGACCCATCAGTCTTTCAGGCATAAGAAGTCTTCTAAATTCTATAAACCAGACTGGTGACAACACAAAACAACAAAAATAATATTTTAATCTTTACATCTTTTGATACCATTGGGGTTTCACAAAGTGACTACTTGTATCAATCCATACTTGTATCAATATATTAGCTTAATCTAACAAAGTTAAGTCAGGTGCTCTGGGCGGACAAAAGATTTAAAAAACTTGTTAAAACTTTTCACCTTTAATCCAAAAAACTTTGTCAGTCAGAGGAGCTGCAATAAATTCAGTATATATATACTATACTATACTAAAAAGCACCTTCTCTTAATGGATCAACCAGTTTGTTGGTGACATCCAGAACTAGCTGTTCACATGATAAAGGAGGACCATCAGACTAATGACTGATTGTTAGTGCCCTGATGGCCGCTTGCTATTCACAGAGGGCTGAGTGATACTAGCAATAACATCGTATCTATCTCTAACTTTGTTAGATTTTTCTACCTGGACTATTGAGCATCCATCCATCCATTTTCTTCTGCTTAACCGGGCTCGGGTCGCAGGGGTAGCAGCCTAAGTAGGGAGGCCCAGACTTCCCTCTCTCCAGCCACTTGGGCCAGTTACTCCAGGGGAATCCTGAGGCACTCCCAGACCAGCCGAGAAACATAGTCCCTCCAGTGTGTCCTGGGTCTTCCTCTGGGTCTCCTCCTGGTGAGACGTGTCCATATTACCTCACCAGGTAGGCGTCCAGGAGGCATCCTAACAAGATGTTTGTGCCACCTCAACTGGCTCTTCTCCGTGTGGCGAAGCAGTGGCTCTAATCTGAGTCCCTCCCGGATGACCGAACTTCTCACCCAATCTCTAAGGGAGAGCCCAAACACCCTGCCGAGAAAACTAATTTCAGCCACTTGTATCAGTGATCTCTTACTTTCGGTCACAACCCAAAGCTCATGACCATAGATGAGGGTAGGAACATTGATCGACCGGTAAATTCAGAGCTTCGCCTTTTGACTCAGCTCTCTCTTCACCACGACAGACCGGTACAGCGCCCGCTTCACTGCAGACGCCGCACCTATCCGCCTATCGATCTCTCGCTCCATTTTGCCCTCATTCTTGAACAAGACTCCGAGATACTTAAACTCCTCCACTTGGGGCAGGACCTCTTGCCCGACCCGGAGAGGGCACTCTACCCTTTTCCGGCTCAAGACCATGGCCTCGAATTTAGAGGAACTGATCCTCATCCCGGAGGATGAGGATCAGTTCTGAATTATTGAGCATGCATCAGGATATTTTAGCTTAATCTTTAAAAAAATACTAAAAATGACAACGCTGGATTTTAGTTTCAACAATGTGATTCTCAAACAGCTGCTAGCTGAAAACTTGACGTGCATGTGATCAACTGAGTATGATGAATTGCTCTGGTCCTGGTTCAGGTATTTGCTAAGTATTTTCTTGTCTTAAAGACAACCAGAACACACAAACATTGTCCTCCACTTGATAATTTTCCTCATTTTTAAAGCACATCTGTACAACATGCTATCATGTTAAGGTACATGAAAGAAAACCGTGAATGTGTGTGAATCTATTGATGAAGACCACTTTAAAGGTTTAAAAGAAAGCCTGGCTCTTTGGAAACTAAAACATTAAGCAATGATGTTTTACTTAAAACTTTTATGCTTTTGTTTTCTCACCTGGAGCTGAGGTCCATCTGAGGTAACCCTGCTCCTCCTCCACTTCCACCACGGGTCTTCTCCAGACCCAGTTTGGTAAAGATGCCCACCAGCACCATGACGGCAACCACACCGCAAATGATGTAAACAATGAGATGTGTGCGGTCCCGATCCGCGTCCCCCTGACCCTCTGTGATGGTAGCCACTGGCTTGCCAGTGTTGGCCCAGATGGGGGTGTCATAGTTGGAGCAAATGGTCTGATCCAGTCGCTGCTGGCGGAACTGACAGCAGAAGCGGTAGAAACAGGTGCCACAGCAGTACAGAAAGACACCTGCGTTGCAGTTGAAAGGTGGGTCCCATTGACCCATCACATCATAGTAACCTTGACAGCGCGTCCCTCCAATAGGAGGGACGTCTTCATCATCTGCGTCTCCACCACTAGCAGGGGTGGAAAGCTCTGTCTCTGGAGGAGTTCTCTGGGTTATGTCCTTATAGCTGAAAGCTGTCAGGTTGGCTGGTGTGGTGGAGACGATGACTGGGTCGCTCTCGGGTTCTGTTATCCTGGAGCTGAGCGAGTCCTGGCTGAGGACTGGCTGCTGAAGCAGGAAGGACACGAAGAAAGAAAAGAAGAAGATAAAAAGATGGCAGGATGAGTAGTTGGTTGCTGCCATCATTCTCAGGGAGCTCTTTTCTTTGATGTCCAACCTTTAGGTCTTGCGTAGAAGGGAACATTTTGGAGACAGATGGGAGAATGTTATGGTAAGACATAGGTCACTGATAAAACTTTTGAATGCTTTTATAAACAAAAAACACATGAAAATTTAAAACCTCAAATTCCTTGAAGGAATGCCTGTTACTGTCACCTTCTCTGCTCAGTTTTAGTCTAATGTATGTTGAGGAATGACAGGAATCGATGCTGTTCAGACTGTAGACTTTCAGCTACTACCACACTAAATTTTAGCCAATTAGCTGTAAACTGACTGAATTAAAGCTATTTTTGTATATTCTATGGTTGGTTGCTTTGGTGGTAAATGGACTGTACTTATATATCGCCTTTCTATTTTATCAAGATACTCAAAGCTCTTTACAACACAACCTGTGTCCTCATTTACCCATTCATACAGAACTGTACTATACCTGTACAAAGAATAATCAGAGCTTTAGATCACATTCATACACCGATGGGACACACAGCAGAGGCAATGAGGGGTTCATTGTCTTGCGCAGGGACACTTGGGCATGTGGCTGCTGGTGGAATCGAACCCCCAACTCTTGCATTGGAGGACGACTGCTCTAACCACTCAGCCACAGCCGCCCTGTGGTGGCTATCTTGAATTGGGTTGACTTCAAAAGTTAATCAGTTGTAGATGTACATCCAGTGATTTCTTCCCCCTTGAAAGTTTCAATAAAATCCGTCCGATTGTTTCTGAAATTCTTTGATACCTATTTAAAATATTGCTATCAACTATCTGGAGTCAACTTTGCTGCTCTACGTTGCAGAGCAAAGTGGGGGAATTGGAAAAATCCTTTGTCTGTACATCCATCCATGCAGACTGTGAGCAAGATAACTTGATAAATAAGTAAATGCCGACTTCCATTTTACTGTGGCTACATATATGTGTAAGACAGGTCTCTATCAAAAACTGGGTTGCCACGTCAAAATCCAAGATGGCCACCAGTATGTATATCTGTAAACAGGACACTGCTATCATTTGAGCAAACTGTTTTCTAGTTTTTATATTGCTTACAAGTATAGTTTCTTCAAATAATTGGGATGGCCCTTGGAGTGGCCAGTGACAGGCCACCTGCTGGATCCACCATCACACCTGGTGGTGGATAAGTTCTCACCAGAATCCATCACTCTGCATGCTTCAGACAAGCAAAACAACAAAAAAACACGTCTGCTTCTCTACACAGTAACTCCTCCCCACTTGAGTATTTTGCATCAAAAACATTAAGGTTTACTTTCACTCCCTGTTTAATTTCTGTCAAGAAAAAAACACTCATCTCAAAACCTACAAACATTCACTATCCGAATCCGTCAGGGGCGGGGTACATCCGTGTACTGCTTGTCAGTCTAAGATCTTTCACAATCTGTTAATGCTCAGATTATTTGCTGGGGATCAATCTCAGCCACTTCTACACCAAATCTTTGCTCAATATCTCTAAAACTAATTTACGGTAATTTGTGGTTTTGTTTGTTTTCTAACGTCAGTTGGTTGAGGTGGCCAACTTGATTCGGGTTAACTTCAAAAGTTATCCAATATATGTATGTCCAATTGTTGATTTCTAAAAGTTTTGTTAAAATTCCATCATGAGATATTTTGATAACTGTCACATCTTCACACTCTGATAAAAACATCATCTGTTAGGCAGTGTGACAACTGGAGTTTTATTATAATGTCTCAACAAACTAAATTAAACAGATCAAATGCATTATTTATTTATTTTTTGTTTGCTTTTAGTGACCTAAAAAACAAGATATTTGGCAACTTTTCTTTCTAAAAGCACATTTACTGATCCTGCACACCTATGGAGTCAACAAAGAAAAGAAAGCATTGTGTTTTCATCAGATCAGTAAAAGATGATCACCTGAGTTTGATCTTAGAGGAAATAGAAGACAAGTTGTTTTCTGTTTTAAATCCCAGACACATTCAAAATGTTCTCACCTTGTTCCTCTTCACTTTGTGTAGTCAGTTCTTTTCAACAAGTCAATGGGAAAATTCCTCTTAGAAATTTCCACAAACTTCTCTCGACAGCATTGTTCCTCATGTGTTCTCAAAATCTGCTGAGGGTTTGAGGAAACATATCCTCAAACGTATCCAAAAACATACAAAACCACACGTTCCTTTTATTCCTTTTGGTGTTTGTGTGTCATCCGTGTTTTTCTCTTCCTCTGTAGAAGCTGCTCAGTCAGAGCTGCAGTCAAACAATTCAGGACTGTCGGGGTCTTCTGTTGCAGATAGTTCTCTTGTGTTCTGAGGAAAACTCAGTGAAAGCGGGTGGATGCACTGAGCACCACAACAGTTCAGAAACCAAATGAGATGTCCCTTCTGTTAACCTCTCAGCAGCAGGGAGACAGACAGGGAGTGTGTGTGTGTGTGTGTGGGGGGGGGGGGGGGAAGGGGAGGCACGTGCTACATCCAGCTGCATCTCCCATCACACAGAGGACAAAAAGCCTGGAAGGAGGAAGGAAGGAAGAGAGGAATGAGGAAAAATATCAAAAGACGAGGGGAAAAAAAGTACAAGTACGATTCTGATCACAATATTTTACTACAGAGGCTTGAATATGATATTGGGATTACAGGAACGGCTCTAAAATGGTTTAACTCATATCTATCTGATAGATTCCAGTTTGAAAATGTAGATAATGAATCTTCATCATACAACAAAGTTAGTCATGGAGTTCCTCAAGTTTCAGTGCTTGGGCCAATACTCTTTACTTTATATATGCTTCCATTAGGTAAAATTATTAAACAGCATGGGATAATTTTTCATTGTTATGCTGATGACACACAATTATATGTGTCCATTAAACCCAATGAATCCAATCAGCTACTTAGACTATAAGCATGTCTTAAAGACATAAAAACCTGGATGACCCTTAATTTTCTCCTTTTTAACACAGACAAGACTGAGGTTTTGGTTTTTGGACCTGAATATTTTAGGAATCAATTTTTCAGTCTATCGCCCTCCTTAGATGGCATTAATCTGTCCTCCAGCTCTAATGTTAAAACTTTTGGTGTTATTTTTGATCAGGACATGTCTTTTATCCCCCACATTAAAAACATTACTATAACCGCCTTCTTCCACCTGCGTAATCTTGCTAAAATTAGAAACATCTTATCTAAAAATGATGCAGAAAAACTGGTCCATGCATTTGCCACATCTAGACTGGACTATTATCTGGGTGTCCAAATACTTCTTTAAAACGTCTTCAGGTGATCCAAAATGCTGCTGCCAGAGTCTTAACTGGAGTTTGTAGGAGAGATCATATCTCTACAGTTTTAGCTTCTCCACTGGCTCCCTGTAAAGTCCAAATTGAAATCAAAATATTCTGATGCATGCTTAATAATCCAGGTAAGAAAATCTTAAAAAGTTAAGTCAGGTTCTCTGGATGTTCAAAAAAAAAATGTAGAAACGTTTCGAAAGACTTCCTCAGTCTGAGGTACTGTATTCAGCTCAGTCTTATAAATAGCACCTTCACAGAGAAGACCAACCAGTTTGCTGCTGACAACCAAAACCAGCTGCTCACATGATCAAGAAGGACCATCAGCCTAACGATGGATCATTAGCACCCTTATGGCTGTTTACTATTCACATGAGGCTGAGTGATACTAGCAATAACAGCATTGTAAGAGGGGGACAGTTGAACCCGGAGGCCTCCACCCCTGTTTAATGATGGACAATTTCTTTTCACAAAGATGGCCTCCTTTACTCCTCTCTCAAACCATCATTCCTCTTTATCAAGGATGTGAAGATCTTCATCCCTGAAAGAGTGACCGCTGGCCTGGAGATGAGTGTAGACTGCAGAATCCTGGCCTGATGATGTTGATCTTCTGTGCTGGACCATCCTTTTGGTCAGTGGCTGTTTAGTTTCCCCAATGTAAGACTGATCACAGCCCTCCTGACACTGAACAGCATACACAATATTACTCTGTTTGTGCCGGGGGACTTGATCTTTGGGATGAACCAGTCTTTGCCGTAATGTATTTTGGGGTTGAATACAGCTCCTCAGACTGAAGAAGTCTTTCGGATGAAAGACAAAATGTTTCTACAATTTTTTGTTTTTGTTTTGAACGTCCAGAGGACCTGACTTAACTTTTTTAATTCAAAATTTTACTCCTGACCTACAAAGCTCTCAACAAACTAGCTCCATCTTATATTTGAGATCTTATTGTTCCATATTTTCCCAAGAACACTTCGCTCTCAGACTGCAGGCTTACTTGCGGTTCCTGGAATTTCCAAAAGAAGAATGGGAGGAAGATCTTTCAGTTATCAGGCTCCTCTCTTGTGGAACCAACTTCCAGTTTCTGTCCGTGAGGCTGACACATTGTCCAGTTTTAAGATTGGAATTAAGACTTTCCTTTTTGATAAATCCTATAGGGGCAGCACGGTGGTGCAACTGGTAGAGCTGCTGCCTCTCAGCGAACAGGTCCCTGGTTCAAACCCCGGTCCAGGGGCCTTTCTGGGTGGAGTTTGCATGTTCTCTCCGTGCATGCGTGGGTTTTCTCCGGGTGCTCCGGTTTCCTCCCACAGACCAAAAACATGCATGTTAGGCTGATTGGTAACTCTAAATTGTCCCTAGGTGTGAGTAAGAGAGTGAATGGTTGTTTGTCTCGTTTGTCTCTATGTGGCCCTGTGATGGACTTAAGACCTGTCCAGGGTGTACCCCGCCCCTCGCACAGTGATTGCTGGACATGGGCACCAGCGACCCCCGTGACCCAAAATGGAATAAGCGGGTAAAGATAATTGATGGATGGATGGATGGATAAATCCTATAGTTAGGGTTGGTTTGTTATGCTGCTATAGGCTTAGACTGCTAGAGGAGAACTTGACCTCATTTCCTTAAATGATTTGCTCAAATAGAATAGTTTTCATTTGATACTCTTTCTATCCTAACATGTGATTCTGGACCTGCCATTGTGTATCTGTTCCTACCAAACCCAGC